CAGCATACAAAAGACATTTTAGACACCGGTGCCCTTCAAACCTTGTGGGGTGAGTTTAGTGAAGACCCTCGTCTGTTCCGGCATTCCGGCCTCCTGTGTACAAGGCCAGCAACATAAAGACATGGATTGAGGAGCTTAGTATGGAGGAACCTCAGTGGCCTGCAAAGGGTTCTGACCTCAACCCCACTGAACACCTCTGGGAGGAATTGGAATGGTCGGGGGTTAGGTCTTCTCACCCAACATCGGCATCTGACCTCTATAGGTACAAATTCCCACAGACGCCCTCCCGAATCTTGCAGAAAGCCTTCCCCGAAGAGCAGAGGCTGTTGTAGACACAAAGTTGGGGGAGGTGTCCACAAACAGTGTAGTGTACCTACCCCAGGTGTCCACAAACAGCGTAGTGTACCTACCCCAGGTGTCCACAAAGTGTAGTGTACCTACCCCAGGTGTCCACAAACAGTGTAGTGTACCTACCCTAAAATGCTTCTGATTATGAGACTTTCACCAAAGAGAGCCCAATACATCACACCTACAAGTATAAAGTCTCATATCACATGACCACATTGGTCTGTCGGGGCAACACTGACCGTTCACGTTTCAGACATGCCGACGAATACAGTTCCAAAAAGGACGTGTACCTACCTCAGGGATGGGTCTATGTCCCCATAGCAACTTCTGTGTTTTCCATCTCGGCAGCGCGTGCCAGTGTGTCCGCCATTAATGCCTCTTCTAGTTTCTGTCGAACACTTTGCACTCTTTCCTCCTGTTTCCTGAAACATAAGAGGTAACGTCAGGCACCGAGCAGCACAGGATGGCAGTAAGTGGGAAGAATCCTACCATGGGGGGCAAACCCAGCATTCAAATCAATTAGCATAATACAAAGTAACAAGATGTTTGTATTTATTGATCTGGGACACATCAAAATAAATAGGGGTGTTACTCTGTTCCGGGGGCGTTACTCTGTTCCGGGGCGTTACTCTGTTTCGGGGGCGTTACTCTGTTCCGGGGGCGTTACTCTGTTCCGGGGGCGTTACTCTTTTCCGGGGGCGTTACTCTTTTCCGGGGGCGTTACTCTGTTCCGGGGGCGTTACTCTGTTGGGTTTACAGGAATGCGAGTCACAAGACGGGCTGAACAGACCTAACAATATTTGAGGCAGGTAAATCCGTTCCTAATACATCTTTTTCACCCCGAAATGAATGACATTTATTTTGCTCAGAGTATCAAACAACTTTTTTTTTTTTTATTCATTCAAATATTGTTTTCACCAAATGTTTGTATCTTGTGTCCCATTAGCACCTCTGCTCCCCTGCAGCCACCTCCTGTCCACAGGCATGCAGCAACTGCCGCACATCATTTCTCGCAGCAGGCTACCTATGGGTGACAACGATGGACCATGACTGTGCAATGTGCATCCATATGACTGCGTGGCTGCAGTCTCCTTCAGAAACCAGAGTGACAACGCAGGAGAAACAAGTGATAGACATGAACAGAGCGTGGTCACCCTATAACAGGAAGTGCCGCTACAAGGACTTTCATGGCCGGATCAGCAGGTATTATTTTAATGAAAGCTGCAGATTTAAAATACTGAACCAAAATGACATTAACAAGGCAAAGCCTTCATATTAGTAATTGCTTTCCGTATATTTTAAGGTGGAATTCCAGACAATTTTCTGGCTTAGGGAAGGTTTAGAAGCTCAGATGCATCTCATGTCTTCCCATGTTCCTTCACATTCTGTCCTTGTGTCTTCTGTGGCCAGGATAACAGAAGACAACAATAAAAGCCAGACAAAGGCTATAGCCCCCACCTAAAATACATTGAGGGGAATTTATCAAAACTGGAGCAGAGAGAATCTGGAGCAGTTGCCCATGGCAACCAATCAGCTTCTCTCTTTAGTTTGCTCAGGTGAGATTTGAAAATGAGACAGAGAAGCTGATTGGTTGCAGTGCAAATCTTCTCCAGATTTAGTCTGCTCCAGTTTTGATAAATTCCCCCCATTGTGTCTCCTTTGCAGATTTTGCGTCACTTCCTGTCCCAGTGACCCCCTATCCCTGAATCATTCGTCATGGCTGAAGAGCCACTTTAATGCAATAAAGACCTGTAAATAGTCTAGCAGCAGGCTCATGCGAGGCAAGATATTGTGGAAGTGACTGAGAGGCGAGCCGTTCTGCCGCACACTTGATATATCGCTGCGCTGGAGCAGACCCAGAGAGTGCACGGACTGCTAAGATGCACACATCAGTCACTCACAAAATGTAAACTTGTGAACTGGAGCTCCAGGGAGCAGCCTGGATTCTTGGCAGCGCCGGAGAGGCACAAAACAGCGCCTTCAAGAGAGATTTGTAGCGCTGGCCAAACCCCATTAACTTATTGATTAAATGACTTCCCTGCATTAAATGCTAATGAGCGCGCGCTTCTCTGTGCACCGCTGACACGCACTGTGCATGGTGATACATGGGTGCTACAAACTCGGAATTCGGAAATGTACCAGAACAAGGCCAGATAAGGAGATGTGTGTTTGATAACTCCGGGCTCCATTTACCAAACTGCTACATTATTAGCTGACATTACGCTTCCCCTCCGTAGACTTTCACGGCTTCCAGTCTGAAGCTTCTCATCGTATTGTTTCTGCTCCTTATCAACTGAAAGCAACACTGAGCTTCGCCCATGCAGAGGAATGGAAGAGGTGCGACTTGTATAGAAGATCGGAAATACTTCGCTGCCCTGCTGCCCAGACTGCCGATCACCACCCCGATCTAGAGAACTTGTCACCTTAAAGTGACGCTAGATTCAGGAGTTCAATCTTAAAAATACATTCAGGTAACTTAATTAATAATGTAAAATGTCTCCTGTGTATCACTCGGCTTTAGCTCCTCAAATCATCTCTGAATTGGTGCCGCCACTGTCCTTCCGTCTGGAGGGGGGCTACTTAAAGGAGAACTATGGGGTTAAGTCTTTTCCCCATAGTTCTCCTTAGGGTAACGGGAGGACACAAACTAGCGTCCTCCCGTCACCCTAGGCTCAGTATACTAGACGCCGCAGTATACCGCGAGCTGCTGCTTGCGGTAATGTAAGACGCCGCAGCTGAAGCGGATCCCGACAATTATGCCGGGATCCGCCCAGCTGCGTGACTGACAGCTGGCTCTGCGTATCTAGAGGCAGAGCCAGCTGTACCCGCCCCCTGCCCCGTCCGTTCCGCCAGTCAGCGCTGGCGGATCGGGGAGGGGGGAATCCAGCCCCTCCCCTGTCCTGGCAGAAAGCCGTGACAGGATGGAGAGGTGAGCGAACGCTGGTATGTGTTCACTCACCTCCCGATCTACTGAGCCGACCTGTGACAGTCTCATTGTCACAGGTCGGCTAGAACTATGAGGTGAGTGAAAATCACTCATGTCATAGTTCTCCTTTAACTCGACCCCGAGTGTCCCCTAGTGTCACCTTTCCACTTCACTGGATTCAGCTGCTGAGGCAGCTACAGCTTTGTAGCATGCCGTCCTGATGTCTCTAATTCTTAGTGAATGGAGATTAGGAAAAGCAGGAATATTGGTGCTGCAGACGATATACGTTCCTGCAACGCGCGCTCCTTCACAAGACATTCCATCTTTCCGGAGTAAAAGTTTTGGTTGGAGCGGAGAACATTTACTTTTACCGGAATCATATCTCTTTATTTAGATGACAACTGGGAGACTTTTTCCTGCAACCCAAAAGCATTTTTACGACCTTTTTATTGTCCTCTCAGTACATGGGACATAAAACTCTCCAATTCCATCGGGTTCATAAGTAATATAGTCAGATTCTTCGCATTCAAGCGGAATAAATCTGCCACCTTTCCGTACACAAAAACAACTGAGGGGAACCGGCCAGGAATGCCTCCGAGATCCTTTACACAAAGCTCCGGCTGCGCAAGACTTATCACGGAACATAACAGTTTGCTCGAAAGAACAGAGCGCGCACATAAAAGACATCTGCTGCTAAAGATATTCTACCGGCCCGAGCGGGCTTACCACGACTGGAGCAATTTCATAGAATGGGAATTCACTTCGAGTAGGAGATCCTACACCGGGCTCCGGAGGTGTTGGGCCGGGGTCTCCTGGTCGGTCGTGGCTCATGAGCTGCATAGAATGACACTGTCTGCATGGAGTTTGCACGTTCTCCCTGAGCTTGGGTGGATTTCCTCCGGGTACTCTGGTTTCCACCACACCCTAAAGACATGCTGGAAGCTTAATTGGCTCCTCTCTAAATCGGCCCCGTATGTATCTAAGATAGGGACCTTAGATTGTAAGCTCCTTGTGGGCAGGGACTGATGTGAATGTGCACTGTGTAAAAACATTGGTGCTTTATAAATACCTAGAATACATAAATAAATGTTTGGGCTGCAGCACAGTATTGCCTGCCAACTGCTTGTGTGTGTACTGACCCATCCAGCCCACTACACTAAATCTGACTTGTCTCCTACGATGGCCATAATCCAAGCTTCTTCTATTTCCGCCATGCTGGATACCCCCATCCATACTAACAGTGACCCCCCACGTCAGTCTATTGTCTATGGGTCAATGAGTGCAGCCGGGTTGCAGTCACAGTTCGGCCAAGAACTTTCAGACCGGCTTCTTTCACAAAAGACAATTTGAAAAATCAACTTTGTTAAATGGGGTTGTCTGAATGGCAATGGAATTTCAGCCAAGTCAGCAGGGCTCAGATGAAATTCGATGGGTGTATGGCCAGCTTTAGGCCTCGTTCCCATAGGTGACAAGGTCTAGGGCCCCCACCCTCTTCCCCGCCATGATTCACGGTGGATCGCTTTCAGGGGCAGTTGAGCAGCGGTCTGCTGGTATACAGGAAGTGATATTGTTGCCCCCCTGAATACCTGTTTTGTGATCACAAGGGGGATTTTACATTGAATTACCGCACCATAAGCCAAGAACTGGGCACATGGTTGTGTCATGGTCCCACTGACTCCAATGGTAGCGTTTGCCAGGTGGGGGCACCTACCAAATGTGGCATGAAAACCAGACAAGAATCCATCCTGAACTTATACTTTCCTGCACCAGCTAGGAGCTGCACGGCCTACTCTGATATCATTTAAATCTGTTTTGCCAAATGGGACATGGCAAGTTATAATTGCCGCGTCGTGACGCATCAAAGCCTCAGCAATATGGGCAGTCCCGAGCGGCTGCCATGTTAGTGTGTAGGTTGGCAGTCGGTAACAAGCATGGCTCAATGGCCTGATTTTACCGCGCCTTTCATGCCCATGTGAACCTAGCCTAAGTGGACTGGTGACAGGCATCAGAAATGGCTGCCGAGCACCCTTGTAGCTCTTGTCTGAGCTGAAAACACTGACTTTGCTGCACGGATATCCCAGATAGTGTCATCAGCCATTCCAAGTTCTCTCCTTCTGGACTACAGAACCACCCCCTTATGTTATCATAAGTCCAAATAATTATAAATGTTTTTTTAACAAACCCGATGTACCTAAATTTATCCTCCGAGTCCTGTGTTTCGCTGAATGGCTGTACTCATTATGGGAGGGTTGATGATGTCAGCCAATCACAATGTATTGCTTTGCAAAGTGCTGTCAGTCCAACAAAGGTTACAGCACTTCGTGAGGAGACAGCATAGAAATGACCTCATCATTGTGCCTCAAGGTTATCTGGCCCATTCACACCACATCCAAATCATCTCCAGACCAGGCCGTTTCCAGACCCAAAATGCATTCTAATGTATCCCTATGCTATTTCTGGCCTCTGTTCCCACCAGCGCAGTCCGTTCCAGACCAGACCAGAAAAATACGGCATGTCTCATTTTGTCTGGTGTGGAATGCACTAGAACACATGGAAATGCATAAAAACCGCATACAAATGCATTGGAACGCACCTGAAAGCCCATTTTAAGCTAAAACGAAAAAACAAAAGCTCTGGAACGCAGCACATTTGCGGTAAAAACGGGGCAAAAAGCAATGTACTGCGTTCCAGATCTGGTCCGGGAACTGGTGTGAACTAACACAGGAAACAAGCTTTCAGGAGCAGGGAACGCAGAGATCATCTCATCACCACTGGCGGAACTACCATCCCTGTACGGGCAGCTGTGCGGCAGGGATGCATTGCCGTCCGCACGCACTCAGACCGGCACAGTTCCTTGCGGCCTCAGCTGCAAGTTACTGTGCCCGTCTGAGCTGCTTCTCTCCTATCTGCCTCTTAGCTCCAGGGTCGCAGAGAGAGCAGAGTGATCTTTCTGAGACTTCAGAGCGATGAGTCATTGGGAGGCGGGGCGTGCTGCGTGAGGGCAGACAAAGCAGTTCACATGCATGCTGGTCAAACATGTGTTCAGCCATCTCTGTTCAGCTTAAATAACGTGAACTATTTTATGAACGCACCTTTCTAGCGCAGAAAACTCAATCTCACCGTTCAGTTCTATCCTCCATGTAAAACAGGGGTAGCCAAAATCCGGCCCTCCAGCTTTTGTGGAACTACAAATTCCATGTGGCATTGCAAGACTCAGACAGCCGCAGGAAAGACTCCCACACAGCCAGGTGCATCATGGGATTTGTAATTTCACCTCAGCTGGAGGGCTGGAGTTTGGCTACCCCTGATGTAAAATGTCCGGCTGTATAGCGATACATTTCATGGGCTTTCACGTCAAATCAGCCTTTCCCATCAAACTGCTCCAGCCTGCCATCTTGTGGCACAACACCAGATGACACCACAAATGGTAAAGGTTGTACACAGCACTCGCATTTGTTGCGGTACCATTCTGATGCGTCATGTATGTTTTTTTTACATTCAGTGACATTAATCCAAATGGAAGATGCACTTACTGAAAACTGCCTAAAAATGCAGCAAACAGAAGTAAAAAAAAAAAACACCACCCTAAAACGAATAGATGTTAGCTGTGCCATAACAAAACATCATCATATAATTCAGCCCTGTGCTTAGAGCAATGTAATCATTATGGGAATTCTTTTATATATAGGAGCTGCAAGACGGCATACGTGATAGGCAGCTGAGAGGGCAGCAGAGGAATCAGAGCTATTGTCAGACACATAAAGAAAGCTTAAAGTGATTTCCCATTATTTCCTGTCCTGTAGACACAAAAGGAAGTGAAGGGAATTCTCCCCAAAACAAGAGAAATGCCCTCGTAGACAGCTGGAATAAGTGTTCCCATTGGATTTCCCTTCTAGTGCTTTTCTGGTGACAACTGAAAATCTTGGTTTTTTTTCTTTCTCAGTTTCAGTCCCAGTGACAATGATCATCGGGACAAATAGAGAGAGTGAACCTCCCCCAACAGGGACAAAGGCAACCTGACTGTGGATCTAACCCTTCCCACTTTATTCAAAACTACAACAAGAAAGCTCAGGCTTTAAGGTCCCCACACACCTTACGATAATCGCGGGAAATCGCGCGATCGTACGATTATCGTAAGGTGTGTGGAAGCCGTGCGACCTCTACTACTGTAAGGTCGCACGACTTTGAACTTACGGACATGTTCGAAAACCCGCCAAGCATCGTACGATGTTCGGCGGGTTTGTGGCATGTTCGTAAGATAACAGCCGTACGGGCCGGTGTGCGCAAGCGCACACTGCCAGTTCGGCATTGCGGTCATCGGAAGCCCGCCCCTCAGGGGGCGTGGCTTGCGATCATCGCAAGTACGATCTGCCTATGCAAGATAGGCAGATCTTACGTTTTTTTAAGTACCTTACAACCATCGCAAGACAAAATTCTTGCGATGGTTGTAAGGTGTGTGCCCAGCCTTAGAAAGCTGGAAAGACCAAGAAAGACTTCTTTAAATCTACTCTCACCTAATGTCCTCCACAAACCCCGCCCTCCTGTCCCGAATACTCTCACCTGATGTCCTCCACAAACCCCGCCCTCCTATCCCGAATACTCTCACCTGATGCCCTCCACAAACCCCGCCCTTCTGTCCCGAATACTCTCACCTGATGTCCTCCACAAACCCCCTCCTCCTGTCCAGCTATCAATCACCTGATGTCCTCCACAAACCCCGCCCTCCTGTCCAGCATACACTCACTTGATGTCCTCCACAAACCCCCGCCCTCCAATGCCCTCCACAACCCCCGCCCTCCTGTCCAGCTAACACTCCCCTAAAGTCCTCCACAAACCCCGCCCTCCTGTCCAGCATACACTCACTTGATGTCCTCCACAAACCCCGCCCTCCTGTCCAGCATACACTCACCTAAAGTCCTCCACAAACCCCGCCCTCCTGTCCAGCATACACTCACTTGATGTCCTCGTCTGTGACCATGAAAGCTTTGCAGAGCGGCTGTGACGTGTTTAGCCAAACGGACGGGTTCTTCTCCACGGCAGCGGACAGCTGTCCAGTGATCGGGGCAGAGCTGGTGTGCAGTGCGCTGGCAATGGCCGCAAGTAACGTGTCCTCTTTATTTCCAGGTCCAACCCCTGTGGAAGACAAAATGATCTGTTCAGCGGCTACACTGGGCAGCATTGTGATTTGCAGCACACAATTCTGACTGGTTTTTTTTTCAGTGCACGTTTTGATTGGCTGCCATGGGCACAAGAACATGTTTTCCTTAGAAAAATTTCCCTAATTTAATCAAAGGGAAGCAAAATAAGCATCAAACGCGGAGAAGCAGAGAGCCATCTGCATTATTCATTGGAATAAATGGATGAGAGCAAAGGTGGGTTACAGGAGAAGGCCGGGCTGTTCATCGGAAGTCAATTTCAAGCCTTTAGAAGGTGATTAGATGGTGGTTCGCCGGGGGGTGCGCTTCTCTTTTTTAACAGGTAAAGTATTTATTGGTTTTGAAACACACAGCACAAGAAAATGAATAGCAGCACATTACAGCATAACATCATTCAGTACAAGACATTACAAAAATGAGAAAATCAAAATAAAATACATAGATGACTAACAAAACATTCCTAAACAAAGTAGGCGTAGATCTTCGGTACCATATGCATGCATACACAGCCAGTCCCACTAGTGGGTCAAGCTATGCTACGTGAAACTCTGGGGGGAGATTGGAGCAAACAGCTCCTGCAGGGATCATGTTCTCAACACTATCCTTTCCCGCCAATAAAATCTCACAGGTCCCACATCAACGCACAGCTGGATCACTGCTCAGGGGATTCAGGCGGGAGCAAGGCCTCTCCGCCCGGACCCTCCAAAGTAAGTCCCCAAGCCGCCACCCAGTCTCCCCAAATCCGATCAAATTTGCGCACACAATTACGGCTCATGTATATCAGCCTGTAGAGAGGGAGCATTCTATCAACTGTGCGTAACCATTGCCCCACCGTGGGGGAGGGATGGAGCCAACTTCCATCTCAGGATTATTTCCCTGCGGGCATAGAGCGAACCTTGGCACTCCAGCTGTGCCAAAACTACAAATCCCAACATGCATCTGACTCTGGGAGTTATGTCTGTGGCTGTCAGAGCCTTGCAATGCCTCATGGGACTTGTAGTTCCAAAACACCTGGAGTGCCAAAGTTCACCACCACTGCCGTAGGCGCTTGTAAGGTATCCCCACATCCTAGCAGGAAAAGCAAGGGGTCCACCTTCAGCTGTAGACCAGTCACCGCGCCGACCGTAGACACCACCGATTCCCAGTAGGGCCGAAGCCTACAGCAGGACCACACCATATGGAAGAAAGTGCCCTCCTCAAGCTCGCAGCGAGCGCATGTCGCGTCAGCCGTAGGGTATATTCTAGCTAATCTAGCAGGGGTGTAATAGCCTCTATGGAGGAATTTGAGCTGTATGAAGCGTTCCCTAGGAGAGATCACCGTGGACACATATGTCTGGACGCATGATTCCCAAAAGGTCCTCCGTCAGAAGGGGGATATCCTCCCTCCACTTCTCCTGAAGGGCCACAAGCTGGGGCCCTCCCCCAAAGGTCAAACGGAGGTAGAGAGAGGATAAAGGTTTGTGCAGTCTGTCTTTCATTAAGAAACGCTCAACTCGGTCTGATGGGGGGGGCGTCCTTTTTATTCCTCTCTGAACAGAGGAAACAAAATGTATTTGTTGTCTGTGTCCCATTGGGGAGATTTTCCATCACTTCCTGTCATATCCTTGGTAAAAGAAATGAGGGGAAATCTCTCCCGATGGGGACACAGGCAGAATGAAATCAGATTTTTAAGTATAGTGGAGAATGTGAATATCAGCAAGAATGGGGCTCATTCACACGTGTGATTACGGCTGGATAGCGGGATCCTGCAGCTGGAATCATAGGTGAATGCGAACAACGGCAGCTATGAAGCTGGTAACAAACAATGACAAGCTGGCAGAAGCTGGGACTGCCCACTGCTGTTGGCATGTATCCGTACATCCAATGGTTAGGGAGAGATTTCCGGCCCTAGCCACACATGTGAATGAGCCCTAGGAGAGCCTGTAACTTTGTCCTTAATAGGCACTGCAAAAGGTTAACATTTAAGGCCCATTTGCACTCATGCATTGTGGCAACGCATGCTGAAACGCAATGCATTGTACAGCAGAGCCCAAAGCACAATGCACCAAAGCATCACAACACTTACAGTATGCTGCTGCAATTTGGAAAAAAAAAAAAAAAAGCTCACATACATTTTTCTTCCATTGTGGTGCATTAACAGCCCATTAATAATGAATGGTCTACCTTAATGCACAGCACATTAACGCATGCCCTAACACACCACAACAAATCAATTTACTGTGAAGAGGAACTTCTGGTACGGAATTTAAAGTCAAACAGACGCAGTTGGTGAAGATTACTCACACTCACCTTTTTGGATGACGGCAACTCCAATCTTTGATCTCTTTCAGAGATATGGTTCCATCTGCTGTCCCCTACACCACTACGGGATGCAGTCCCCTCTGTGGAGATTTTGTGTGTGGTCACCAGAACAGGAAGTGAGGGCAAATGCACATAGTGGGGACACAGAAGTAACCACCTAACAGGAGCACCCAACTCTTTTCTGCTCTATCCATCCAAAAAAATAGAGCAGAGTTCCACTTTATAGGTTTAATAAAGAAACCAACCCCCCCCCCCCCCGGTGCTCATCTCTCTGGTGGGTGGAGAGTTAAATCTTCCATCTCTTGCTCAGAGCATCTTTAGAATCCAGCACTTCTGGGTTTGAGAGCATGCCCTCCACTGCGCCCTATGGTGCCTCCCGCTGTTCAAAGGACACGGCAGTGACGAAGAGCCAGCAGAAAAAGCCACAGTGCCCAGTAGGTGACATACCATCCAACACCCCCAGAAGATTTGGATTCCAGCGAAGATTGTAGCTCTGAATTCACTCATTACCCACCGGAGAGGGGAGTAGAAGTCATCTTCTTTTGTAGGCTGATTCTGTGCGACTCTCTAGGGCAGCGGTCGCAAACCTCCAGCTGTGGTGCAACTACAAATCCCATGAGGCATTGCAAGATTCTCACAGCCACAGACATGACTCCCGTAGAGAGATGCATCATGGGATTTATAGTTTCATCACAGCCGGAGGGCCGGAGGATTCCTACCCCTGCTCTAGGGAAAGGGTTCCTTTGTATCCGACTGGTATGTGTCTTGTGTATTACATGTTCTTACAGGACTGGAGCTACTTCTTTTGAGAAACCAATCAGCATCAGATGTGCCTTAAAAGTTGAAATCGGATTGGTGGGTGTGGTCGGTGCCGAGTAATGACGTGCTGCCCGGCTTCCTGATACTAGAAGTATCAGGCTAGGTATCGGAACATTTGGGCGAGTACAAGTACTTGCCCAAATACTCGGCATCGGCACCAATACTAGTATCGGTATGGGTGCAGCCCTACCGATCACCAATGTTACCAAAGATGAAAGATGTGGTGGGGGGGATCCAACATTTTGAGTTGCCATAGAGGGAAAACTTCCAATGGGAACAACTGTGTAAAATGCTCCTGGAAAGATACCCTCTCACTTCCTGTTGAATCTACAGAACAGGAAGTGAAGGGAAATCTCCCCTAGGAGACACAGATGACAAAGATACAACTGACTGCGATTTTAACCTTCCACTACTCCACACAAAATGAATAGAAAAAAGGTTTTGTCTTTAGATAAATGAATACAAAGCTGCATTGATCTGCATCTATTATAAGTGTCTGAAGTTCAGCTTTACGGATATATCACATATTGAGGAGATCTACGCCTTACTATGTTATTAAGGTGATAAAAAGAAATCCGCAGCAAAGCAAAAACACATAACAGACACAACAGTGTCAGGATCCCAGGGGCCCCGGAGTAATGAGCTCTCTTTATAGCCACATAATTAGACTCCAGAGAACACACATCTGACTTCACACTTGAAGTGTGTTGCAGTAACAGTCTAAGAGACGGGAATATCATTAACACGTCTCTGCCATAAAATGAAAATCCTCCCCCACTCTCTGTCTCTCCTGCAGACGTTTTCTCTTAACCAGTTAGGGATGCTGGGCTACATGATACCATGCCCCCCCCCCCAAAAAAAATATAAGGATCACAACGTCTAACTCTCCACCTTCTCTGTAGGTGCATACAGCATGACCTACCGTACAGCCAGGTCCTGCTAAAGGACCGATAGCAGCTCATGTGGGAATGGAGACCGGAATCAGTGGTTGCAGTCTTCATTCACAAATACAGCGCAGCAATGTATTTTATTAAAGGAGAACTATGGGGAGAGTGAAATGCACCCATCCTCATAGTTAGAGCCGGGGTCTGACACTGCAGCTGTCACACTTCGGCTCTATAGCTTGAGAACTGAGCGATCACAGACCACTGATCGCTCAATTCACAATCTTCTCCCTGTCAGTCACCGCTCACCATAGGGATTCCCCCTCCCCCTCTCTATTCCTCCAGTTATGACTGGTGGGACAGACAGAGGAGGGGGCGGGCACAGCTGTCTCTAGAGAGGCAGAGCCAGCTGTCAATCAGGTAGCGGGAAGAATCCCAACAATATTGTCGGGATCTTTCCCAGCTGCAGCATGGCTCTAAGCTGTCAGCATATAGAGGGTGAAAGCCCACTATTTGCTGAGTTTTGGGTCACAGGAGGACTTTAGTAACTGTCCTCCTGTGACCCAAAATAGAACAGCAAAAACGTTTGGGTCATAGTTCGCTTTTAAGTGCTTCTATGCAGACTGAAGGCTTGTCTGAAAGTAGATAAAGACACTGTATGGACAAATGTTTGAGGACACCCCTCCAAATTATTGAGCTTGGCTGTTATTGTGGGTACTGTTCGTGTTACAGTACACTAAGACATAGTTCAGAAAACTGTGCACTTCCAACCTTGTGGCAGCAGTCTGACAGAACTAAAACGCTTTTATAGTTTTTATATTCAGCTGACTGGAATGGCCAATATGGCAAATCCTATTGCTGGCAGGCCAAAATCTCTACTGGGACTGGGCTACCTTAAAGCTGGACTTTAGATAGATATAAAAACCACCAGTTAATGCAGCTCTGTATTCATAAATATATCATTATAAGCCGGGTCTATGCCATCCCGTCACGAGTGACGAGGGAGCATGGAGCCGGTCTCCCTGCCAATCAGGAAGCCGAGCAGTGTGTAATGACGCGCTGCCCGGCTTACTGATACCGGAAGTATCGGGCTAGGCGTCGGAGCATTTGGGCGGGTACGAGTACTCGCCCAAATAGTCGGCATCGGCAGCTCAAAGTGGGAGTTTTTCTTTAACCATTAGGCCCTCTGTGGGTACGGAAATATTCAGCAATCGCATTCCAAATACATTACATGTTGCACAGGCTATGACAAATGTACAATAATGCAGGCTTCTACCTTGAAGGCCTTTAGGAAGTTCCATGGGTTTTATGACTTGTTCCGTGACATCTGAGGCATTCAGTCCTTCTAGTCTCTTTTCCCAGAAAAGCTAGAATACAAATAAACAAGGTCAGAAACACCAGCCAAGAAAATAAGAAAAAAGAATGTTAAAAAAGAAAATAGGCAAAAGAGAGAAACAGTATTTCTGAAAGAAAAAGAAAAGCATATCGTTTGCTTATGGTACATGGAGCTTTAGCACACTGAACGTCATCCAACCGGTGTATACAAGGTCTCCAGAAATATTAACTTTGTCCACCAACATATAATATTCTGGGAATCACAAATTCACTTCTGGGGGCTTGTTCACGCCAGTAGCCGCGCTCAACCACTTGGCGGCTATTGTGTGTGCGCCCAGACAGTGCCTATGCACTCGATCCAGCCACATCGTATGGTTTCTTTTTTTTTTTTAGAGCTTTATTGAAAATGACACAAATAACATTTCATTAAGTTCTATGGGCTCACCGCAGTGCAATGTGGTTGTACCGTGTCTCACTGCGGTGCAATTAAAAAATAGCATGCCATACCTTTTTTTAAGGGCACACCACTACCATGCAGTAGTGTGAACTGTCGCCATCCACGAAAAGACAAATTGTCTTATCTTGTGTTCGGAACGTCAGAACGCAGATGGTGTCTACTAGGGATGCACCAATACTGATACTAGTATCAGGGCCGATACAGAGTATTTGGGCGAGTACTCGTACTTGCCCAAATGCTCAGATACTTATCGCTGATACCGGAACTTCCAGTCAGAGGGAGATCTCTCTCTGATCGGCAGTGCGGAGTGAGCATGGAGCCGGCTTCCTTTCCGATCAAGAAGCCGTGCGGTGGGTTATGACCTGCTTTTCATAACCCACCGCATGGCTTCGTGATTGGTTAGGAAGCCAGGCTGCCTAGGAACAGGTGAAGCCAGCTTTACCTGTTGGTAAGCAGCCTGGCTCCCTAACCAATCACGAAGCCATGCGGTGGGTTATGACCTGCTTTTCGGCTTCCTGATTGGTTAGGAAGCCAGGCTTTATAGGAACAGGTGAAGCCAGCTTTACCTGATGGTAAGCAGCCTGGCTGCCTAACCAATCAGGAAGCCGGGCGGCACGTCATGACTCGAGTCCTGGCTTCCTGATTAGTGAGGAAGCCAGGCTGCCTAGAAACAAGTGAAGCCGGCTTCCAAATCAATCAGGAAGCTGGATGGCACCTCATGACTCGCCGCCCGGCTTCCTGATTGGTCAGGCAGCCTCCCAAGCAGTTGTTCTTTCGCTAGAACACTGGCTTAACAGGCAATCAGGAAGCGGGCGACGGGTCATGATCCACCGCTCAACTTCCTGATAAACGGGGCACAAGGCACCAGTACTCTATATTGGCAAGTACAAAAAACAAATATCAGTACTCGTTCTCGATACAGAAAAAAAAACAGTATCGGTGCATCCCTAGTGTGTATTTGCAGCGCTTTCTGTTTCAAGCTGGGCAGCACAGAAGATCGACCCCAATTCTGCGCTCAATTTTCTGTATTGGAGGGCAGGGGAGAGATATGGGGTCTAATAGACCCCAGATGTCTCCATAAAGAGAACCTGTCACCTGCAAACGCTATTACATAGTGGCTTGTTAGTCCCTGTGTAATAGCAATAAAGTCAAGTAAAAACAAGAGTGATTAAAAAAAAAAACAGTAAAAAAATAATAAATGTAAAAAAAATGAAAACCAACCCCGCTGCCCCCACCATCTGCATGCAAATATACACATGCGTATGGGCATGCACGTGTATGTAAACAACGATTGTGCCACACGTTAGTTATCAACGTGCACATCAGAGTGAGAGCAATAATTCTAGGGCCATAATTCATGGTTAACTATACACTGATAACCTGTACAGGCTTTTAAATCGGCACCTATGTACAATTTTGTGTCCCATATTTTTTTTTGCAAATTGGGAGCACTCACTGGTCAGCGCAGTCACCTGACCAATGAGAAGCGCTTCTTAATGCGGTTAAATACGGTTCTGGTTAAAATTATTTGTGTTATCAGGACAAGTTGATTCTCAGGAGAGACGAGTAGATCGGGCCCACGCTTTAGTCCTTTGACAAGTAGTTTATTTTAAAATGTCCGCACCCCTGGACTCTGTCACCTTCCTGTTCATTGACACGGGTGACAGAGTCTGATTCACTATAATAAAACACAGAGAGAGCTCAGGGCAAGTATGCTGCATACAGACAGTGTGATCAAAGTCAACTGGCAGTTTAAAGCTCTCTTCCTTCCTGCGCAGTATCGGTAACGCTGAACTGCCACAGAACTTCCTCTTCCCAGTTCCAGCTAACCAGTTCATCTGCAGCTGTGGTGGGACTACCAGTCTGGGCCTGCCATGCCGGCACTGCACGCCGCTGACCGTAGGCCCTTCCTATAACACCTTGTCATATGCAGAGAGCGAGGGAAGAGCCCTGGAATCCCGGCAGTCCTATGACACAGACATTCCAAACGCATGAGTCCATTGTCTGCCGTGAATCACGCTGGTTAACACTTCACACGCCAGACACATAACAAAAAACATAGAAATGTTTTTCCGTGCTGATAAAAAAAAAAAAAGAGGCTAGTTTATTATTATTATTATTATTGGCATTTATATAGCGCCAACAATTGTACACAGTGCACATTCACATCTGTCCCTGCTTACAATGTAAGGTCCCTATCTCGCATGCATAGGAGGTACAGTTTAGAGAGGAGCCAATAAAGCTTCCAGCATGTCTTTGGAGTGTGGGAGGAAACCAGAGCACCCGGAGGAAAGCCATGCAAGCACAGGGAGTACATGCAAACTCCATGCAGATAGTGACCTGCCTCGGATTCGAACGGGGGACCTCCAGTGCTACAAGGCAGAAGTGCTAAGTGCTAATGGGAGATAGCTGTCTGTACTGACTTGGAAGAAGTGTTAGTGGAAGTGTTAGTTACTCCGGTTCCTTCTGGCTTCCTCGGGGTGCCTCAACATCTTCTGATAGTAGGACTCTGATGTCGGGGCCCATTCACACCGCATCCAGATCATCTCCAGACCAGATTGTTCCTGGACCAAAAATGTATCCTAATGTATCCCTGTGCTATTTCTGGCCTCTGTACACACCAGCGCAGTCCGTTCCAGACCAGACCAGAAAAATACTGCATGTCTCATTTTGTCTAGTCTGGAATGCACTGAAATGCATGAAAGCGCATGCAAACACACGGGAACGCACCGGAAGCCCATTTTAAGTTTTTTTTAAAAGCGCTACAGAACGTGGTAAAAGTCGCAGTAAAAACGCAATGCACTGCATTCCAGATCTGGTCCAGAAAATGTTGTGAACCTGCCCCGATGGTCAATTCACACCACATCCAGATTATCACCAGACCAGGTTGTTTCCAGACCCAAAATGCATCCTAATGTATGCCTATGCTATTTCTGGCCTCTGTTCACACCAGCGCAGTCCGTTCCAGACCAGAAAAATACTACGTGTCCTATTTTGTCTGGTCTGGAATGCACTGGAACTGTGGGCAGGTTCACACCATTTTCTGGACCAGATTTGGTCTGGAAAATGGTGTGAACCTGCCCTGAAGGCGGAACTCTTATGTAAAAGGGGGGATTCCAATATGAAAGAGGGGGGTGGGGAGGGGTTCTGATGTGAAGGGGGGCTCCTGAAGTGCAAGGGGCTTCTGATGTGAATGGGGGCTCCTTATTTGAAGGGAGGACATTGATGCAAAGGGACATGCGTTTTTTTGTGTGTTTTTTTAGACTGGGTTGTCTCAAGATTTAACATATTTTTAAGGGAACTGTGTGTGAAAAAAGGTTTAGCAAACGCTGTTCTATCCTGTATATTGTATTGCTTGACTGCCATGCTGACTCTCTGGCTTAAAGCAGCCCCACTGCAAGGGTTAATAAAAGTTTTTTCCTCAGAGTTCTTCTCTAAAGGTGGCCATACACTTTACAACCCTCGCAAGACTTTTGTCTTGCGAGGGTTGTAAAGTAATTAAAAAAACGTACGATCTGCCCATCTTGGACCGGCAGATCGTACTTGCGATAATCGCAAGCCCGCCCCGCTGAGTGGCCGGCTTCCGGTGACCGCAATGCTGAACGGGCAGTGTGCGCTTGCGCACACCGGCCCGTTCGGCAGTTATCTCACAATCATGCTACAAACCCGCCGAAAATCGTACGATTCTCGGCGGGTTTTCCAACATGCTCGAAATACAAAAGTCGTGCGACCGTACAGTAGAAACGGTCGCACGCCTTCCATACACTTTGCGATTATCGTACGATCGTGGGATTTCCCGTGATTATCGTACGATAATCGTGCAGTGTATGGGCACCTTAACAATTGGCAACCAATCAGCAAGGTCCCTGATCATGTGTACACCGTGACTGCTATGACAAGGAGCTCACACGAGATTTGTTAGTAAACCAACCTCTCCTGACTCCAACTGTCACTGTTGTATGTTCTGCCTGTACTCGTTGTGTGCTCAGAAAGTGTTTAGAGAATGCATTCCATTTTCTGACGCTGCTGAATTCGGTTTGGGCATCTATACATCAATGAGCTCTGGTCATGAAGACGTTTAAAGGGTTATTAAACCCTCACATGTTTTAGCATATACCTGTGGCTAGCAGGCAGTAGATATATGCAAAACAATAGATTAAAAAAAAAACTTTTTCAAAGGGTTAATACTTACCTGTATCTCCGCCGCGCGCTCCCGTCCGAACGTCTGAAAATTTCTCGGGCGGCCGCAAAGGATCGTGGGGCGGGCACATGCGCAATTCAGATGTTCGGCCGGGAGATGAGGAGAGACACAAGGTAAGACTATGGAGCAGCGTGCACCCGCAGAGACACCGTGGGACATGAGAGAAGAGGAGGACAGAGGAGTCAGCGCTGGATCAGAGACCCGCACCAGCGCTGGAGGGACAGCTGAAAAGGACAGGAAAGAAGAATATGATCGGATTAAGAGGCATCATTTAAAGCAGTGTTTCTCAACCTGTGTAACTTCAGGACCCACATTTGTCCTTGGCCATTAAGTTGTGACCCAAGTTGCACTGCAATGGAATGCATGGAATTGCTATAATGTGTGTTCCGATGCAGGTGATCGAACTGTGGGTGGGAGATGCATTTGGGGTGCCATTCAAATGAATGGCAATGCAATGCACCTCCCACACCAGAACCCAGGACGGTGAGATTAACATACTGTACTGGTGCGAATTGGCCCTCAAAAACACTGACAGACACACACAACCACAGACACAATCTCACACACACACTCCAAAAAATGTTTATTTTTGTTTTTTTAATCCACCCAGTCTCCTTACCATACGAGAACTGGAGCAGATCCTCAGCCTGGGGTCCAGTGTGGGCCGCTGTGAAGGAGCTCCATCCATATGTGCATTGCTTGTACAGTGACCTTGCACTCCCGGTAGAGGTGTCAGGAACCAGAATGTGATATCACTCCGGTCCGGGCACACGAGGCATCACTCCCCTACAAGGCACACAAGGGAGCTGTAAGCAATGCACTTATGGATGGAGCTCCCCCATGGCCATAGCCCTAGCCTACCCCATCCGCTAGGGGGAGGCTGAGGAGCCTCTCGCCTAGAAAAGTGAAAGGCACACGGCGACCCACTTTTGGATCACGATCCACCAGTTGAGAACCAAGGATTTAAAGTAAGTCCTTACATTAGCATGGGGGAGGCGACTTTTGACTTTAATGTCACTTTAACCCTTAAAGCTATATTATCACAGTGCCACTAGCACCAACACTGCTATTATGCAGAAAGTGTCATGTGATCAACGCTCTGGGGGGTCATTTTCAATACGTCAAAATGATCAGAGCCCAATCTGTGCTCCAGCATTAAACGATGCAAAGATTCGGCTTAGAGTTCCGCTGTGATACCCATCAGGGATCTGTATACCTGGCGGGGCTGCTCAATGACCCGCTGGGGATCGGACTTCACTTTATTGTTGGGGTGTTGGGTGATCTTGGTAACGGGTTGCTTGAAGATGGAAGCTGTCTGACGTATAGGCAGAATTGTATTCAAGTCTGGTTTAGCCTATGAGAAAAAAAGAAGTATAATTATAACCGACTATCCCGGAATGTTACTGCAGACAGCGTGAAAGCACAAAGTTCTGTCCCATTATGAATAATACAAGAGCCCAATATGTCCAGCCAAAACCTTTTTTAGTATTGGATAAAGTAGTTAGCAGGGGTAGGCACCCTCGGCACTCCAGCTGTTGTGAAAGACTCTGACAGCCACAGGAATGGCTCCCAGAGGCAGATGCATGATATGATTTGTAGTTTCAACACAGCTGGAGTGCTGAGGTTGCCTATCTATGGGTTAGAACCTCTGTCTGGTATTTACTGTTATGTACACACTGACCTCTCTATTTGTTGTTATTGGCAGAGAAAGTGATCAGAAAGCCGTACCGGTACCTACCCGTCACCAGAACAAAAACATAGAGGAAATCTGATCTGGAGACAACTGTCTGAGAGGGGATTTACCCTCACTTTGGGGAGATCTCCTTTGACTTCCTGCTGTGCCTTTGGGAAAGGAAGTGACAGAAAATGTCTCCAAAAGGGACATAGACCACAACTGCCCACCTATAACACCAACCACCGCTCCCGACTGCCCACCGAAAAACACCTACCACTGCCCCTGACTGCCCACCTAAAACACCTACCACCGCCCCCTGACTGCCCACCTAAAAACACCTACCACCGCTCCCGACTGCCCACCTAAAACACCTACCACTGCCCCTGACTGCCCACCTATAACACCAACCACCGCTCCCGACTGCCCACCGAAAAACACCTACCACTGCCCCTGACTGCCCACCTATAACACCAACCACCGCTCCCGACTGCCCACCGAAAAACACCTACCACTGCCCCTGACTGCCCACCTATAACACCAACCACCGCTCCCGACTGCCCACCGAAAAACACCTACCACTGCCCCTGACTGCCCACCTATAACACCAACCACCGCTCCCGACTGCCCACCGAAAAACACCTACCACTGCCCCTGACTGCCCACCTATAACACCAACCACCGCTCCCGACTGCCCACCGAAAAACACCTACCACTGCCCCTGACTGCCCACCTATAACACCAACCACCGCTCCCGACTGCCCACCGAAAAACACCTACCACTGCCCCTGACTGCCCACCTATAACACCAACCACCGCTCCCGACTGCCCACCGAAAAACACCTACCACTGCCCCTGACTGCCCACCTATAACACCAACCACCGCTCCCGACTGCCCACCGAAAAACACCTACCACTGCCCCTGACTGCCCACCTATAACACCAACCACCGCTCCCGACTGCCCACCGAAAAACACCTACCACTGCCCCTGACTGCCCACCTATAACACCAACCACCGCTCCCGACTGCCCACCGAAAAACACCTACCACTGCCCCTGACTGCCCACCTATAACACCAACCACCGCTCCCGACTGCCCACCGAAAAACACCTACCACTGCCCCTGACTGCCCACCTATAACACCAACCACCGCTCCCGACTGCCCACCGAAAAACACCTACCACTGCCCCTGACTGCCCACCTATAACACCAACCACCGCTCCCGACTGCCCACCGAAAAACACCTACCACTGCCCCTGACTGCCCACCTATAACACCAACCACCGCTCCCGACTGCCCACCGAAAAACACCTACCACTGCCCCTGACTGCCCACCTATAACACCAACCACCGCTCCCGACTGCCCACCGAAAAACACCTACCACTGCCCCTGACTGCCCACCTATAACACCAACCACCGCTCCCGACTGCCCACCGAAAAACACCTACCACTGCCCCTGACTGCCCACCTATAACACCAACCACCGCTCCCGACTGCCCACCGAAAAACACCTACCACTGCCCCTGACTGCCCACCTATAACACCAACCACCGCTCCCGACTGCCCACCGAAAAACACCTACCACTGCCCCTGACTGCCCACCTATAACACCAACCACCGCTCCCGACTGCCCACCGAAAAACACCTACCACTGCCCCTGACTGCCCACCTATAACACCAACCACCGCTCCCGACTGCCCACCGAAAAACACCTACCACTGCCCCTGACTGCCCACCTATAACACCAACCACCGCTCCCGACTGCCCACCGAAAAACACCTACCACTGCCCCTGACTGCCCACCTAAAACACCTACCACTGCTCCCGACTGCCCACCTAAAACACCTACCACCGCTCCCCGACTGCCCACCTAAAAACACCTACCACCTCCCCTGACTGCCCACCTATAACACCTACCACCTCCCCCGACTGCCCACCTATAACACCTACCACCTCCCCCGACTGCCCACCTATAACAGCTACCACCGCCCCCAACTGCCCACCTAAAAACACCTACTACCGTCCCATAATGCACACCTAAATACAGCATGTTGTGTTTGGCAAGCGTTGATGCTTGCCAAACATAACCATTGTAGTCAAAGGAACAGGGACGCCTCCTGCCACAAGCAGGTGCCACTAGGGCTGATACCAACTAATCGATTCATTGATAACGAGAATAGTTGTCACCTATTCTCATTATGGATTAGTTGGTTGGATCCCCTAGCCCTCTCCTCCATGCTGGGAGGAGGGCACAGTAAGCAGTGGGTGGGTGCAATGCTACTGGCTATTGCAATTTGAAATGGCCAATAGCAGGCTGCCTACTGCACCAGCCCACTACCTGCTTTATTTACATTCAGCTGCCGTTTGTGGAATCTTGCCACCGACAGCCGTCATTCCCGTTATGTTTGTAGCACGGCATTTGTGTATTTTATTTTACATTAAGGATGGTTATTTGTTTAATTTTTATCCAATTAATCGAAAAAATTATCGGCCAACTAATCAATTATGAAAAGAACCATTAGTTGCAGCCCTAGGTGGCACGGCATGATATTGTAATATAAAATCACCGTTGGGATCAGCAAACACATGGGCACTCAGGAGGCAGCAGTATTACAGCAGCAGTACAGAATGCCTCCAGACTGCTGGCTCCCATCATGGAATGCTTTTCAGAAGGCGGCAAAAGTCAGCCGCAGGACTGCAGGAGGCCTTAGGCTCCATTCACATCTAGGCGACACTATTGCTCGCGATTTATGAGCGTCGTTTTGAGAGCAGATTTTGGCACATTCATGTGAAAGGGCAAAACACGCAAAAAAAATGCGCATTTTCAAGAGGTTCTACTGGGTCTATGGGACAAAACGCACTGAAATCTGCCCCAAAGGAGCTCATGTACTATTTCAAGCGACAGGAGTATTCCTGCTTGCAGTAAGACTCTCAGGTGTGAACGGGGGCCATAGAAATTAATGGGATTCCTGGGGTGGAGCATTTTGTGGCGCCGAATCAGCTGCAACAATACACTCAGGGCCCGTTCACACCAGACGCAGTGCGTTTCGGCCCGATTCTGACCAGAACGCACTGCCTCGTGCAGCCGATCGCATTGCTGCCGGAGGGCGTGGCTACGGTGTCATTCACTTCATTCACGCCCTCTCCTGCCCCACAAAAAAGTGAGCCGGCCGCAATGCGAGGCAGTGTGTCCTGGCCAGAATCGGGCCGGAACGCACTGCATCTAGTGTGAAAGGGCCCTTAGGTGTGAATGGAGCCTTAGAGAGATTTACAAAGCTCCCCTCACCCACCCCAGGCCCCGCTTTCCTTTAGTTAAAGTGCAACTAAAGCCAAAACTTTTTTTAGTTTTGGATGGAATGGAGAGTATTCCCTCTCCATTATGAGGAGCGCCCCCTATCTCTGTGCCTAGTTCCTGGGTATCTAAACCCGCTGTGCTCAATATGAGGAGCTCCCACCATCCCTGAGCTCCCACCATCCCTGTGCCGAGTTCCTGGGTATGTAAACCCGCTGTGCTCAATATGAGTGCTCAATATGAGGACTGTGCCGAGTTCCTGGGTATGTAAACCCGCTGTGCTCAATATGAGGAGCTCCCACCATCCCTGAGCTCCCACCATCCCTGTGCAGAGTTCCTGGGACTGTAAACCTGCTGTGCTCAATATGAGGAGCTCCCACCATCCCTGGGCCGAGTTCCTGGCACTGTAAACCTGCTGTGCTCAATATGAGGAGCTCCCACCATCCCTGGGCCGAGTTCCTGGCACTGTAAACCTGCTGTGCTCAATATGAGGAGCTCCCACCATCCCTGGGCCGAGTTCCTGGCACTGTAAACCTGCTGTGCTCAATATGAGGAGCTCCCACCATCCCTGGGCCGAGTTCCTGGCACTGTAAACCTGCTGTGCTCAATATGAGGAGCTCCCACCATCCCTGGGCCGAGTTCCTGGCACTGTAAACCTGCTGTGCTCAATATGAGGAGCTCCCACCATCCCTGGGCCGAGTTCCTGGCACTGTAAACCTGCTGTGCTCAATATGAGGAGCTCCCACCATCCCTGGGCCGAGTTCCTGGCACTGTAAACCTGCTGTGCTCAATATGAGGAGCTCCCACCATCCCTGGGCCGAGTTCCTGGCACTGTAAACCTGCTGTGCTCAATATGAGGAGCTCCCACCATCCCTGGGCCGAGTTCCTGGCACTGTAAACCTGCTGTGCTCAATATGAGGAGCTCCCACCATCCCTGGGCCGAGTTCCTGGCACTGTAAACCTGCTGTGCTCAATATGAGGAGCTCCCACCATCCCTGGGCCGAGTTCCTGGCACTGTAAACCTGCTGTGCTCAATATGAGGAGCTCCCACCATCCCTGGGCCGAGTTCCTGGCACTGTAAACCTGCTGTGCTCAATATGAGGAGCTCCCACCATCCCTGGGCCGAGTTCCTGGCACTGTAAACCTGCTGTGCTCAATATGAGGAGCTCCCACCATCCCTGGGCCGAGTTCCTGGCACTGTAAACCTGCTGTGCTCAATATGAGGAGCTCCCACCATCCCTGGGCCGAGTTCCTGGCACTGTAAACCTGCTGTGCTCAATATGAGGAGCTCCCACCATCCCTGTGCCGAGTTCCTGGGTATGTAAACCCGCTGTGCTCAATATGAGGAGCTCCCACCATCCCTGGGCCGAGTTCCTGGCACTGTAAAC